TTCAATCCTGGAGATAAAGAAAATCGAAAAACAATATTCCAATTTTGTGAGGTATGTATTGATGAAATGTAATCTAGAGAAATGTACAAAAATGTGATTTAATAATTTTGTCTGACATTTGTATACATAACAGTTATATTAAACCTCAATTATTATATTGCAGAAATCTCCATACTTCAAAACATGGATGAATGCGATTGGACCAAACTTGAGAGATGGAAAGAAAACTCGCAAAAATTATTACATTTGCGAACGACATTTTGATGACGGTAATTTACATCGAATTCCTATGAATATATTAAAGGATGGAAAAGAGGTGACCCTGTTACGTAGACGCCCAATGTTAAAATCGACAAGTGTCCCATACATTTTTCCAGTAAATATCAAAGTCACATGTGATCTATGGCGTTGTTGCATATATTTTTCCAGATAATAATTGAGCACTTGATGTAACCAAAAATTTATTATTCAGGGTTCAAGGCTTATAGATTCAAATAATCTTGAAAGCTCCTCGATTATAGATTCAAATATAATGGAATGCACTTTAGAAAATATTTTTAACACAACGGTTTTACTAAAGGAGTGGAATGCAAGACCTTCTTATGAATCCATGGGGTCATGGGGTGTGACAAAAACAACGTGTGGATTACTTTTCATACTTTTAGAAAGCACTTCAGAACAATGTAGCAATACAGTACAGCGTTCTTTACTTGTAAAGAATGACATGACTATCGAGGTATCTTAGGACTTTTATACATTACAAGTTTTTTTGTATATGAATTTATCTGCCTGTACTATTGCTTATTTGATTTGTTTATTTCAGTTACATGCTTATAATCATCCTGTCACTTATCATCTTTTGGAAAAGGTGACGTGCCTACAAGATATTTATTTTTTATTACGAAAAATAAGTGCAATGAAAATGTGCCAAGAAGAGTCCTGCACTATTGGGTACTTTGAGCATAATCCACTTTCACGATCCAATCTTTGTAAAGATTGCCAATTAAAGAACAAAAGAAAAAAAGTAAGAGAAAGTAAACGTGAAAAGAGAGCAGCCGTCAGAAAAGCGAAGGAGAAAATTTGCAAGAAAAATGTAAAACAAAAGTACAAACGGATATACAACCAGGTTTGTAAACGTTTATTAATGCCTACAAGCTAAATTTCAGTTTTTGAATTACATACTTATGTGAGTTGACATATGTTACAGATGAAGAGATACAAAGTAGAATTAGAGAATTTAAAAGTACAATGTGCCTCACAAAAAGAGGAAATTCTCGACGAAGCAATAGCAAGCTTCCCATCTGCCTTGAAGAAGTCGATTAAAGCATGTTGGAGATATGCTCGCTCCAATGACAAGCGTGGAATGCGTTATACAAAAGACTGGATACTGGAATGCCTGCTATTAAGAATAAAAAGCCGTAAGGCTTATATTCATCTTCGTTCACATAACATACTAGCTTTACCTACTATTGGAACCCTCAATAAATACATAAAAAACTTCAGCCCTAGTTATGGCTTTGATCCAGCACTTTTCGCAATGTTAAAAGAAAAAAGTGCAGCTATGAAACCTGAGGAAAGAAGAGGTAAGTAATACATTCTTAATAACGTCAAGTTAAGATGCTTTACAATGGTTTTTGTTTTTCAGGAACGCTGGTACATGATGAGATGAAGTTAAGCGAAAGTGTGGCATTCATGGAGCACGACCTTACCAAATTGGGATTCGTTGACTTGGGTCAGCACACCCCGGAAAATCAGAAAAATGCTCGTGCTGATCAAGCACTTGTCTTTTTATTTCAGCCATTTAGAGGGCAGTGGATACAAAGTATCGCTGCCTTCCTTAGTAAAGGATGTGCGCCTAGTGCTTCTCTTAGACATTTGACGATGGAGTGCATCATCTTATTAGAAAAAAGTGGGTTTTACGTCGATGTAGTGACTTCCGATGCAGCGACGTGGAATAGGTCAATGTGGAAACTTTTTGGCCTCAATGTTTCGACCTTAGAAGCTAGTTGCGTGCACCCGTGTGCTTCTAGCAATGGTTGCAGCGAAAGTTCTGATGACAACGATGTCCCTATGGAGACACGAAGACTATGGTTTTGCTACGACTTTAGTCATCTCCTTCAACATTTTAGGAATTTCCTCGTGTCAAATGAAGAGACCCACGTAAGTTTATTTATGCTTCATTGTCTGCATTTGTACTTTTATGTACTTTATTTTTTTTAATTTACAGACTCCGGATGGTATAGTAAAACTTAAACATTTCCGAGCGGTAATTAGGAACGATGGTGGGGAAAGACATCTAGGATTAAAAATTGCACACAAACTCACCCACGATCATTTGAATCCCCAGTATTATCAAAAAATGAATGTAGAGATGACCTTGGATGTAAGTAAATAGTCTGATATGATAATTTTTTTTCCAAACAAATTGCAACTACAGAGCTCTTGTAAATTATTGTTTCAGCTGTTTTCTCCAAACGTTGCTGTCGCGATGAAAATGTACAGCGAATTCGATAATAACTTAAAAGATTGTGAAGCGACAATTATATTTATACATCGAATTAACAATCTAATAAAAGCAATGACGTCCCGCAGCTCGGAAAATGCATTGAAAAAAGACTCTGCGAGTTACAATGTACGCATTAATGTTAATGTTATTTTTTCGCAACAAAATTAAGAGATTTAATGTTAAATTATTATTACATAACAGAGCATATTGGAGTTTCAAAACTATTTATGCGAATGGAAGAAAATTGCTGCAACTAAAGGATGTGAGATGAAAAAAAAATTTATGTCAGAAAGTACATATTACGGTTTTCATATTACACTTCGGACAACAATCGAATTGATGGATTTCCTCACTATGAAATATGGATTTAATTTTCTTATGACATCAAGACTGAAGATTCTCTTGAGGTACGATACGATTTATTTGATAATAATTATTATTAACACACAGTTTATAGTGGTATTATTTACTTTTGCACAGGGAATATTCAGAATGATTAGAGGATGCTGCGGATCCACCGATACACCTGATCCCCTGCTATTTATACAAATTTATAGACTTCTGAGCTTCTATTCGCTTGTCCGGCCTCCCAAGGGCTCAAATGTTGAAGGCATCAAAATCTTCGACAGTTTATTGTCGATGAAAAATATACCGATGAGGAATGAGAATAAGGATAATTGGAAGCAGGTACTCGACGAAATAATTACACGTGGAGAGCAGACATCTACTCAGGGTGCAAAACAAACACATGACTGTGATTATATATCCGATGTGAACGAATACGTGCAAACGTATTTTGCAGGATTCATTTCCAGGAAAGTAGAACGATGGACGTCATGTTCAGTGTGTCTTGTCGGTAACAAAAAAAGAAGGGAATTTGCGACGAGATGAAATGATAAATTTGCTTACTAAAGGTTATCTTAAATACTCAGATTCTTTAGTTAATTTGCTTTCAGCTCTTGAACACGCAATTTTACAAACGGTTGGTTTCGAAAAATTAAACTACTACACATTTCAGCACATTTCTCAAAATATTTTATCAGAAAGTATCACCTTCGTTGGATGTAGTACACATAAAGAAACTTTAACTCGAACAGTCATCAATTACTACCTTATCACGAGAGCGAAAATCCTGTGTAAGAAATCTAATTATGCAAATAACGAAGCAAAAAAGAAGGAAAGAGAATTTCGAAAACGCGTGAAACTTGTCCGTGCAAAAAAAAATATAGATCCGAATATAGTGAAACCGGCACAAGAAAAGGAAAAAACTGCCCATGTAAATAATGTAAATAATGTAAATAATGTACAAAAATAGATATAAGATATGCAATAAATATTACGCATAGCTATTATATTGTTGCTCTACATAGTCGGTTTCAATTCGTGACTGCGCATGTCAACGTACTTTGTTTCTGTTTGATTATTTATGCATTTATTAATTCCATGATATATATTTCCAAAAAATCATACGTTTATACAATTGATTGAGTGTTAAAACTTTATAAGTTTTCAGCAATATTCCGATACAAATGTGGCACTATTAACACACGGTACTTATCGCCAATGATTTCACGTTTCATATGTAATTTGATTATATACGATTTCATTATTAATTGTTTCGCAACAATATTGAGGGCTTATTACAGTTACATTTATTTCAGCAAACGAATCTTATAAAACAATTAATTTTTAGAATAGTTTTTTAAATTTTATACTTCGAAAAAGAAATTATGCTTTTGTTTAAAATTTCAAGCATTCTTGATACATAGGTTTCAGAAGTTGGCTGATCCCATTGCATCCAGGTTAATTCCTCGTTGCGATGACAAACTTTTACATTCATATTAACGTCGAGAACAACTATCAAGAAGGTTATGAGGTCATCTTCTGATTCGAATGAATGCAATGCAATGATTTTGTATGATCATAGTCCAATCCGTACCTGGCAGTTCAATATTCTTGGAGTTTTCCTTTATACGCAAAAACAAACCGCTTTCCTTCGAATCATACATATTTCAATATATGTTATTCCAACGACAACGAAAATATGCCTTTAAAACTCCTTCAAACGTTAATAATATTCTGTAAATAAAAAAAAATTACTGTAATCATGTTCCAAAAGTTGTATACAATACAGGATTTGCCTATAAACAAGTTATAGCATTCATTTAATGACCATGTGCAGTATAATTTCTTTTTACAACTTACATTCTGTTTTTTCTTCTTCTGTTGTTTTATCCTTGATTGGATTTCCGAATTCTGTTTTATTTGCAAGTGACAATGTTACGTTAAGATTATAGCCACCAAGAAGACTAGGGCTGCGGTCGAGGAGCGCGCTATCAACGCTATTTGTGTCATACTATCCTTGTTTCACATTTAATGGACGATGAAGATAGAATGACACAAATAGCGCTAATAGCGTCTCCCCGAACCCAGCCTAAAACTTCTTGGTTATAGCTCACAACCGATGCGCGCATGCGCAAACTAGGGATAGGCGATGTACAAGAAAAGCATCGATTCTATAATAATCGATTATGATCCAATCCGATTTTTAATTAGCCGATTCATCGTAGGAGAAAACATCAATGCTGGTAAAGTCGATCGTTTGAAGAAAAACTGATTACTAAATTTTATTTTTTTTTATTATTAATTTTTAGAAATATATTGAATTATAATTTTTAAAATTATTTTTATCACAAAATAAAAAAAGAAATAGAGTA